GGCTCTACCGGTGCCAGGAGTGCGGGAAGAGCTACCGGCACTCGGGGAGCTTGGTCAACCACCGCCGGACCCACCAGACGGGGGACTTCCCCTGCCCCCACTGCCCAAAACGCTTCCCAAATTTGGGGGCCTTGAGGGGACACCTCAGGGGACACCGGCGGCGGCGGCACCGGCACCCCGCGGTCTCATCTCCACCATCATCGTCATCGTTATCGTCATCGTCATGGTCATCGTCATGGTCATCGTCATCGTTGGTGGCCACCACCACCACCACCACCACGGCACCCCTCAGCATCTACCAGTGCTCGCTCTGCCCCACCGAATTCGGGGGGCTGCCCGCCCTCAGGGCGCATTGTCACCGACACCGGGGTGGTGGCACCATCCCTGAGGAAGAAGAGGAAGAGGAGGAAGAGGAAGAAGAACGTCCTTTCCTCTGCAGCCTCTGCGGTGGCATCTTCCCCGGCGAGGCCCAGCTGGCGCGGCACCACCGGCAGCTCCACCACGAGGTGGTCACCACCATGGGGACCACCACGATGACCACACCACCACCGATGGAGGAGGAGACCACCACGATGACCACGATGGTGCCACCACCACCACCGATGGAGGGGGAAACCACCACAATGACCACCACGGTGCCACCACCACCACCGATGGAGGGGGAAACCACCACGTCCTTTCCTCTGCAGCCTCTGCGGTGGCATCTTCCCCGGCGAGGCCCAGCTGGCGCGGCACCACCGGCAGCTCCACCACGAGGTGGTCACCACCATGGGGACCACCACGATGACCACACCACCACCGATGGAGGAGGAGACCACCACCATGGTGACCACCACGATGACCACACCACCACCGATGGAAGGGGAAACCACCACAATGACCACCACAATGACCACACCACCACCGATGGAGGGGGAAACCACCACGGTGACCATGATGGAGCCACCACCACCACCACCGATGGAGGAGGAAACCTCTTGTGAGGGGTTTTGGCAAATCTGTGGCTACTGCGGGCGGCCCTTCGGCGACCTGCCCACCCTCCGGGAGCACAGCCGGGGCCACCGCGCCGAAGAAGAGGCCGCCATGGCCCACCTGGTGGCCACCCGAGGACAACCCCGTCCCTACGCCTGTAGCCTCTGTGGAAAGACCTACCGCCACGGGGGCAGCTTGGTCAACCACCGCCAGAGCCACCAAACCGGCGTCTTCTCCTGCTCCTCCTGCGCGCGGCGCTACCCCAACCTGGCCGCCTTCCGTACCCACCTCCGCAACCACCCCCGCTGCAAGGGTGGGCCACCAACCACCTCCACGCGGCCACCAACAACCCGTGGTGGCAACAACCAGGAGGAGGAGAAGGAGGAGAAGGAGGAGGAGCGTCCCTTCCGCTGCGAGGTGTGTGGCCGTGGCTACAAGCACGCCGGGAGCTTGGTCAACCACCGGCAGAGCCACACCACCGGCCTCTTCCGCTGCGGCTTGTGCCACAAGGCCTTTGGCAACCTGATGGCCCTCAAGAACCACCGGCGTGGCCACGGAGAACGTCGCCGGCACCGCTGCGGGCTCTGCCCCAAGGCCTTCCGCCTGCGCCGCCAGCTGCTGGGCCACCAGCGCCTCCACCAGACGGCCAACGGCCACCCCCACGGCCACCCCACGGCGTCGCCGAGCGCCGCCGAGGGGGAGGAGGTGTCCCCTCAACACCACGACCCAACCGAGGGGGAGGTGGAGGGCTCCACGGCGCCCACCGCCGCGTTACGGGTGGAGAAGGTGGTGGGACACGTAGATGGGATGGTGTTGGAGGAGCCCTTGGTGCCACCAACCACGTTACGGGTGGAGGAGAAGGTGGTGGAGGACTCTGTGAGGTCACCAACCACATTAAGGGTGGAAGAGAAGGTGGTGGGACACCTGGAGGGGACAGAGATGGTGTTGGAGGAGCCCTTGGTGCCACCAACCACGTTACGGGTGGAGGAGAAGGGGTCACCAGGACACCCACAGGCCATGGAGATGGTGTTGGAGGAGCCCTTGGTGCCACCAACCACGTTACGGGTGGAGGAGAAGGTGGTGGAGGACTCTGTGAGGTCACCAACCACATTAAGGGTGGAAGAGAAGGTGGTGGGACACCTGGAGGGGACAGAGATGGTGTTGGAGGACTCTTTGGTGTCACCAACCATGTTACCGGTGGAGGAGAAGATGGGGGGACACCTGGAGGGGACAGAGATGGCGTTGGAGGACTCTTTGGTACCACCAACCACGTTACAAGTAGAGGAGAAGGTGGTGGAGGACTCTGTGAGGTCACCAACCACGTTACGGGTGGAGGAGAAGGTGGTGGGACACCTGGATGGGACAGAGATGGTGTTGGAGGACTCTTTGGTGTCACCAACCACGTTACCGGTGGAGGAGAAGATGGGGGGACACCTGGATGGGACAAAGATGGTGTTGGAGGAGCCCTTGGTGCCACCAACCACGTTACGGGTGGAGGAGAAGACGGGGGGACACTCAGAGGCCATGGAGATGGTGTTGGAGGACTCTTTGGTGTCACCAACCATGTTACCGGTGGAGGAGAAGATGGGGGGACACCTGGAGGGGACAGAGATGGCGTTGGAGGACTCTTTGGTACCACCAACCACGTTACAAGTAGAGGAGAAGGTGGTGGAGGACTCTGTGAGGTCACCAACCACGTTACGGGTGGAGGAGAAGGTGGTGGGACACCCAGAGGCCATGGAGAAGGTGTTGGAGGAGCCCTTGGTGCCACCAACCACGTTACGGGTGGAGGAGAAGACGGGGGGACACCAAGAGGGGACAGAGATGGTGTTGGAGGACTCTTTGGTGTCACCAACCACGTTATGGGTGGAGGAGAAGGGGTCATCAGGACACCCAGAGGCCGTGGAGACGCTGTTGGAGGAGCCCTTGGTGCCACCAACCACGTTACGGGTGGAGGAGAAGACGGGGGGACACCTGGATGGGACAGAGATGGTGTTGGAGGAGCCCTTGGTGTCATCAACCACGTTACGGGTGGAGGAGAAGGAGGTGGGACACCTGGAGGGGACAGAGATGATGTTGGAGGACTCTGTGAGGTCACCAACCACGTTACAGGTGGAGAAGGGGTCAGTGGGGCACGTGGAGGTGGTGTTGGAGGAGCCCTTGGTGTCACCAACCACGTTACGGGTGGAGGCGAAGGGTTCTCCAGGACACCCAGAGGCCATGGAGACGCTGTTGGAGGACTCTGTAGCACCACCAGAGGTGCCTGTACAACACCTAAATGCCATGGAGAAGGTGTTGGAGGACTCTGTGAGGTCACCAACCACGTTACGGGTGGAGGAGAAGGGTTCTCCAGGACACCCAGAGGCCATGGAGACGCTGTTGGAGGACTCTGTAGCACCACCAGAGGTGCCTGTACAACACCTAAATGCCATGGAGAAGGTGTTGGAGGACTCTGTGAGGTCACCAACCACGTTACGGGTGGAGGAGAAGGGTTCTCCAGGACACCCAGAGGCCATGGAGACGCTGTTGGAGGACTCTGTAGCACCACCAGAGGTGCCTGTACAACACCTAGATGCGATGGAGACGCTGTTGGAGGACTCTACGGTTCCACCACCGAGGCTACAGGTGGAGAAGAAGGTGGTAGCACCCATGGAGATGCTGTTGGAGGACTCTACGGTTCCACCACCAAGGCTACAGGCGGAGGAGAAGGTGGTGACACCCCAGGAGAAGCTGCTGGAGAACTCTACGGTTCCACCACCAAGGCTACAGGTGGAGAAGGAGGTGGTGGGACCCCAGGAGACGCTGTTGGAGGACTCTATGGTTCCACCAACCCCGTTACGGGTGGAGGAGAAGGTGGTGGGACCCCAGGAGACGTTGTTGGAGAACTTTATGGTGCCACCACCGAGGCTACAGGTGGAGAAGAAGGTGGTGGGACCCCAGAAGAAGCTGTTGGAGGACTCTATGGTTCCACCACCCAGGCTACAGGCGGAGGAGAAGGTGGTGGGACCCCAGAAGACGTTGGAGGACCCCGTGGTGCCCCCAGCCCTGTCACAGGTAGAGCAGGGCCCCCCCGGGACCCCCTGACACGGGGGACGCTGTTGGGGGTCACCTCCCCCCGGGGACACCCCGTTTCCTTCTTCCCCCCCCATTAAATTTGGGTTGTTTTGGAGCGGTTTCGGGGTCTCTGCGGGGCGGGACCCCCGAGTGGGGCCTGGATGAAGCTGGGGACCCCCAAAATGGGTCTAGAGACCCTCCATGTGGGGCTGGGGACCCCCAAAATGGGTCTGGGGACCCCCAAGTGGGGTCTGGATGAGACTGGGGTCCCCCAAGTGGGGCTGAGACCCCAAAATGGGTCTGGGGACCCCCAAAATGGGGCCTGGATGGGGCCAAGACCCCCAAAATGGGGCTGGGGACCGCCAAGTGTGCCCTGAGTGGGGCTGGGGGACCCCCAAAATGAATCTGGGGACCCCCATGTGGGGCTGAGACCCCCAAAATGGGTCTAGAGACCCCCAAGTGGGGCCTGGATGGGGCTGGGGCCCCCCAAGTGGGGCTGAGGACCCCCAAAATGGGGCCTGGATGGGGCCGAGACCCCCAAAATGGGTCTGGGGACCCCCAAATGTGCCTGGAGACTCCCCCAAAATGGGTCTGGGGACCCCCAAGTGGGTCTGGAGACCCCCAAAATGGGGCTGGAGACCCCCAAGTGGGGTTGGGGACCCCCAAAATGGATCTAGGGACCCCCAAGTGGGGCTGGAGACCCCCAAAATGGGGCCTGGATGGGTCTGGAGACCCCCAAAATGGGTCTAGAGACCCTCCATGTGGGGCTGAGGACCCCCAAAATGGGGCTGGGGACCCCCAAAATGGGGCCTGGATGGGGCCAAGACCCCCAAAATGGGGCTGGGGACCGCCAAGTGTGCCCTGAGTGGGGCTGGGGGACCCCCAAAATGAATCTGGGGACCCCCATGTGGGGCTGAGACCCCCAAAATGGGTCTAGAGACCCCCAAGTGGGGCCTGGATGGGGCTGGGGCCCCCCAAGTGGGGCTGAGGACCCCCAAAATGGGGCTGGGGACCCCCAAATGGTCCTGGAGACTCCCCGAAAATGGGTCTGGGGACCCCCAAGTGGGTCTGGAGACCCCCAAAATGGGGCTGGAGACCCCCAAGTGGGGTTGGGGACCCCCAAAATGGATCTAGGGACCCCCAAGTGGGGCTGGAGACCCCCAAAATGGGGCCTGGATGGGTCTGGAGACCCCCAAAATGGGTCTAGAGACCCTCCATGTGGGGCTGAGGACCCCCAAAATGGGGCTGGAGACCCCCAAAATGGGTCTAGGGACCCCCAAGTGGGGCCTGGATGAAGCTGGGGACCCCCAAGTGGGGCTGAGACCCCCAAAATGGGGCTGGAGACCCCCAAAATGGATCTGGGGACCCCCAGATGGGTCTGGGGACCCCCAAGTGGGGCTGGGGAACCCCAAAATGGGGCTGGAGACCCCCAAGTGGGGCTGGGGACCCCCAAGATGGGTCTGGGGACCCCCAAGTGGGGCTGGGGAACCCCAAAATGGGGCTGGAGACCCCCAAGTGGGGCTGGGGACCCCCAAGATGGGTCTGGGGACCCCCAAGTGGGGCTGGGGAACCCCAAAATGGGGCTGGAGACCCCCAAGTGGGGCTGGGGACCCCCAAGATGGGTCTGGGGACCCCCAAGTGGGGCTGGGGAACCCCAAAATGGGGCTGGAGACCCCCAAGTGGGGCTGGGGACCCCCAAGATGGGTCTGGGGACCCCCAAGTGGGGCTGGGGAACCCCAAAATGGGGCTGGAGACCCCCAAGTGGGGCTGGGGACCCCCAAGATGGGTCTGGGGACCCCCAAGTGGGGCTGG